TAGAAATATAGATGGCAGGCTGAAAGAAAGCAGGGTTTCCAACTGATTCAACTCAATCCAGTCATGGATGATTGGAACCAACTTGAATTTAAATATATATATTTTTTAGCTTTTGAAGAATCATAACTGGAATGGGAATTATAATAGGTCAAAGCTCAGGGACGAAAGACTCAGAGCCGGCGTAGTAAGCCCTTTCCAAAGCAGGAGACTGGATCATTGTCAGGACTGTGGGGAGTAACGTAGCCTTTTAAGTGGGTCACCATTGTTTCCAATTCTGCCAATCAAGAGATTTGGTTGCTGTGCAACCTGCCTGCTGCCCCTGTTTCCTAAAAGGGAGAAAACGTTTCTAGCAAGGTGTCTGCCTATAGTTTTTCCCCTTCCAATTATCATTCTGGTGCACCCACATTTTACAAATTCAGGTTCACTTCCTCAGCCATGCCTGAACTGACAAGAACCAGGGAGGAGGTGGAGGTTATTTACTTAATTTTAAAATCATTTTATTGGGGGCTCGTACAACTCTTATCACAATCCATCCATCCATCCATGTGTCAAGCACATTTGTACGTTTGTTGCCATCATCATTCTCAAAACATTTTCTTTCTACTTGAGCCCTTGGTATCAGCTCCTCATTTCCCCCCTCCCTCCCCGCCCTCCCCCTCCCTCGCAAACCCTTGATAATTTATAAATTATTATTATTTTGTCATGTCTTACACTGTCCAATGTCTCCCTTCACCCACTTTTTTGTTGTCCATCCCCCAGGGAAGGGGTTATATGTAGATCCTTGTGTTCGATTCCCCTTTTCTATCCCATCTTCCCCTTACTCTCCTGGTATCGCTACTCTCATTATTGATCCTGAGAGGTTTATCTGTCCTGGATTCCCTGTATTTCCAGTTCTTATCTGTACCAGTGTACATCCTCTCGTCTAGCGGATTTATAAGGTAGAACTGGGATCATGATAGTGGGGGGGAGGAAGCATTAAAGAACTAGAGGAAAGTTGTATGTTTCATCGTTGCTACACTGCACTCTGACTGGCTCGTCTCCGCGGAGTTTATTTAAATAGAGCAAGGTGAGGTTGAATGAAGTCAGCCAGGGCATGGCGCATGGAAAGGAGGGGGCGGAAGTGGGAAGGGTGGACAAAACAGCCAACTGAGGGGCTGCGGCCAGCAACCACACCATGCCTCAACTGACCCAAGCAACAGGAGGATCTGTTCCCACGAAGAACAAGAAGTCAAAATCCAGGCGTGAAGTGGCTCCGGGGTGGTGAAAAGTATAGGCAAAGAGGAATTCAGAATGAAGGCCATATTTTGAAAGGAAGAATGAGGAGTCCCATTTACGGTGGATGGGGGAAAGCAGTGGCTACGCGTGGTTGGGCTGCAAGGTCAGCAGTTGGAAAGCACCAGCTGCCCCATGGCAGAAAGAAGAGGCTTTCTACCTGAACAGTTTCAGTCTCAGAAACCCACAGGGGCAGCTCTACCCTGTTCTATACGGTCAGAATTCACTCGACAGCAGTGAGTGGGGTTCTTTGGGTCTGGGGGAGGAAGCAGTGAGTTCTGGGGGGGCACAAAGAGTTAATTAGCTCAGCTACTAACATGAAGGTGCTCAGCGACACCTCAGAAGAGAGACTGGGCCATTACTTCCCGAACTTCTGTCCTTGGACCCCTAGTGGAGACCGTTCCTCCCTGCCACACACGAGGTCACCATGACTTGGAGGGGACAGCAGGAGAGGGGCCAGGCTAGCTGTGGCAAGTGTGAGTCTGGGGTCCAGGGGAAGCCGGGGCTTGGGGAGACACCTGGGGACGCAGACAGGTGCCAAATCACCAGGCCCTCAGCCCCATCTGCAGAGCGGATGCCGAACGGTCAGACAGTCACAGATAATCACACTGAACTCAACTCCTTTGCAACCCACTTTCATGACACACACTGAAAACCAAGCCCATTCCACCCCACAGAGACCCTGTGGGACGGAGGAGAAGTGCCCCCTTGGGTTTCTGAGATGAAATCTTTCCTGGGGCAGAAAGTCTCATCTTGTGCCCTTGAAACAATGGGCGGGCTCAAACCACTGACTTTGTGGTTAGCTGTTCAATGTGTAGCCCACGACGCCACTAAGGCTCCTGTCTAATCACACTAGGAGGACACTAAGGGTTTTGAAGGCCCAAAGGGGGAATCTGGCCCAGCCAGTCTGGGACCTGGGGGCCTGTGTGGCAGACCATGGAAAGGAGTGGGTGGTGGGTAATTCATGGCAGGGAGAAGGATGGGCAGAGAGAAGGCGGATGTGCCGAAGAAGGCAGAGCTGCAAACTAGACCCGAGAATAAGCATCCCTAAAGGGCCAGGATGGCGGAGCAGGCCAGGCAGAGATGGAGAGAGCGGCCGGAGGAGCGGGCCCGTTCTTCCTCCAAGAAGAAGGTGGGGAATCATGTGAGGGGTGAAGAGAGGGCCGGGAGGGTCAGCCAGGCAGCTGCCCCTCAGGTCAGAGCAGACTGCGTGTCACCGTGTCACCGGTATCTGTGGTCTCTCCCAGGCTCCTGGGAAGAGGGTGTGGGTGGTCCGGAGGTCAGCGTGTTGTAAACAAGCAGAATTTTGAGCAGAGAAGGTGGGCAGCAGCCCTGGGACCCCTCGAAGGCCGTCTTTCAGGTCAGTTTGTTTGGTGACCGTGGGCTTGAGGGTCGAGTAAGGTCCCACGGAGCTTCTGGCCAAGGGGATGGGATGGAGAAACGCACGGCAGGGCTGGCTGTGCGGGAGGGCTGTTGCAGGCTGCCAGATATGTGTGCTGTATTGTGTGTTTGAGATGTGTGATGTGTGTGTTGTTGTGTGTGCACTGCACATGTACTGTTCTTGCATTGTTTTTGTGCGTGTTCTGTGTGTGTGTTTTGTGTGTGGTGAGCGTGAGTTGTGGGTTGTGTTTGGTTTTTGCATGTGTGGTGTGCTGTGTGATGTGTTGTCGTGTGCGATGTATGCTATGTGTTGGACGTTGTGCATGTATTGTTGGCTGTGTGTGCTATCTGTCTGTTGTCTGTGTTGTGTGCGGTGGGTGTTGAGTGTTATTGTGTTTGTATATTGCATTTGTTGTTTGTGGTGCCTGTGTGTGGTGTGTATGGGCCACGTGTGCTGTGTCTGTATTGTATTTGTTGTGTGTGGTATCTATTATGTGTATGTGTTGTGTTGTATGTGTTGTGCTTGTATATGCTCTATATATTGTATTATTGTGTACTGCATAAGACAAATACTGTGTGTGGTGTATGTTCTGTGTTTGGTGTGTATGGTATGTGTGTATGTGCTCTGTGTGGTGTGTGTAGTATTGTGTATATGTGTTCTATGTGGTGTGTTTATGGGTTCTGGGTGGTGTGTGAGTGCTGTGTTTGGTGTGTGGTGTGTGTGTGAGTTCTGAGTGGTGTGTGTGTGAGTTCTGGGTGTGTGTGGTGTGTGTGAGTTCTGGGTGGTGTGGTGTGTGTGTGAGTTCTGGGTGGTGTGGTGTGTGTGTGAGTTCTGGGTGGTGTGGTGTGTGTGTGAGTTCTGGGTGGTGTGTGAGCGCTGTGCTTGTGTGGGTTCTGGGTGTGTGTGAGTGCTCTGTGTGTGGCGGAGGGCGGGCAATGGGCAGCTGAGGGCCAGGAGCCTCAGGAATGAGCAGAGTCATCCCTGCGGAAACATGACTCCTGGTGTGATGGGAGGGAGCAGCTGGGGAGCAGTTGCAGGGGGTGGGAGGTGGGGGCGTGGCTCCTGCGGCCCAATGGCCCCTGCTTCGCCCTGGACCACCCTTCCCACCTGTTGGCCAAGCCCAGGAAAGTGCCGGTGCTCGCTGGGGCCACAGTAAGGGCTGGTTGGCGAGAGCTGAGGGCAGCTGTGGGGGGTCTGTCAATCAGCTGCGTGCCCAGGCGGCTTCGCTGTGCTCACCTGCTGACACAGCCACGCCTCTGAGGCCACCTGTGACCTGTGACTGATCCCACAGAGAGCAGGCGCAAGGGGGCTTGGAAGAAGGGGAGAGGAGCCAGGAGAGGCCAAGGGCCTGATCCAGGAGACCAGGTTGACAGTCACACAGGCTCCGGGTGGGTGCTCCGGGTGGGTGCCCCACTCCCTGCCGGGTTCTTGCAGGACAACCCACTACAGATGGGCCCTAGGAGCTCTGGCCCTGGCCCCACCCTTGGAATTGTCCATCCTCCTGCCCTGCTTGTCTACGTCAGCCCCCCAACCTAGCCCGTACTCACCCTGCATCTTCTTGTTCTGCCTTGCTCAGCTCACCAACAGTGAGACCCCATCGTCCCTGTGGGAGGGGCCTATGGGGAGTCTCTGCAGGGCCCAGAGCCAGCTCAACCCCACGCTTCCCTAGAGCTCAGGAAGGGAGGCTCACCCCTACCTTTCCCGTGCCCTGCAGCCCAGGAATAGCTTACATGGCGCCAGACTCTCCGCGCCCATGGCAGACATCACTAATCAATCACAGCAGTCTTTCCCCCTGAGTCTGGAGGCAAGCAGTGGATTCCTCCCTACCTTGGGGTGCCCCCCAGGCCCCTGGCCCTTCATTTCACTCTTAATGCTTTCCCCTCAGTCTCTGGGGCTGGGGTCACCACCACCGGTGGTTCTTTCTCTGCCCTGTAGGCTGAAGCCACCACGTTCCTGCAGCTGGGCCAAGAGAGTGGTTGAAGACGTTGGGACCTCGGCTCTAAATCCCCAAGGCTGAAGAGGTTCTAGCTTGGTTTACTGTAGGTCCTGAGGGCCGTCGGCCCGGCTGTCAGGAACAGTGCAGTTCGGGGACCCCCCCAACGTGGGGAGATGATCTGAGGTCCAGCCCCTGAGCGGCTGCAACCCCTCACCCCCACCCCCTGCAGACTCCTCTCCAACACTAGACAGGGCCTGCACACCAGCCTTCCCGGCCTACCCTGGGCAGGCAGACAGTGAGTAGTGGACAGCCAGCCCAGGGCAGAGTGGCCATCCAGCACCCTGAGGGCTGCTCCCTGCCGCTGTCCCGGTCGCCTGCCGCCCTTCTGGCTTCTGAGCCCAGGATGCAAAGATGGCCAGTGTGTCTCTGCCCACCCTGGTGCCGCTGGGCCCGGACAGCCTGCGCCCCTTCACGCGGGAGTCCCTGGCAGCCATAGAGCAGCGGGCGGTGGAGGAGGAGGCCCGGCTGCTGCGGAACAAGCAGATGCAGATCGAGGAGCCCGAGCGTCAGCCGCGCAGCGACCTGGAGGCTGGCAAGGGCCTGCCCCTCATCTACGGGGACCCCCCGCCCGAGGTCATCGGCATCCCCCTGGAGGACCTGGACCCCTACTACAGTGACAAGAAGGTGGGGTCCAGGCCGTCGGGGGGCGTCCCCTGCCGGCGGGCCCCGGCCTCGCTCACGGCTCTTTCCCGCCATAGACCTTCATCGTGCTCAACAAAGGCAAGGCCATCTTCCGCTTCTCGGCCACGCCCGCCCTCTACCTGCTGAGCCCCTTCAACATCATCCGGCGCGTGGCCATCAAGGTGCTCATCCATGCATATCCTGCCCGAGTGGGACGCACCGGGGAGCCTGGGGGAGGGGGGCAGAGCTGGGGGCCCTGTCTGCACCCCCTTTCCACCCGCTCCTTTACTGCCCTTGACTCTGGTCCTAACGCTGTTCAGCATGTTCATCATGATCACCATCTTGACCAACTGTGTGTTCATGACCATGAGTGACCCACCGCCCTGGTCCAAGGACGTCGAGTGAGTACCTCCCCCCGCCCACTCCGTACCCCACACACCCACTCACCAGCCCCCACTCCCCAGGACACAAACACACACGCACACGCACACACACACGCGCGCGCGCGCGCGCGCACACACACGGTCATGGTCAGCATCTTCAGCCCCGCCGGCACATTGCATTTTGGGGAGGTCACCCCCACCCCACATGCCTGTGGCCAACCTGGGCCCGGCCGGCCCTCTCCCCGCCAGGTACACCTTCACCGGGATCTACACCTTTGAGTCTCTCATCAAGATGCTGGCCCGGGGCTTCTGCATCGACAACTTCACATTCCTCAGAGACCCCTGGAACTGGCTGGACTTCAGCGTCATCCTGATGGCGTGAGTGGCCCAGTGGCTGAGGGAAGGCCAGCCCCGAGGGCAGCTGGCCGGGCTGCCGAAGGACAGGAGGGTAGGGGTGGAGGTGGGGAGGCAGGGGCTGCAGGCCTCCTGGACACTGCACAGGATATGAGCTGGGCAGCCGCAGGCATGGCGGGACCTAGGGTCGAGCTCTGCCACTTCGGGTGCCTGCTTCCTGCACCCCAGGCCCAGACCCACCGGGAGAACTGAGCCAGCCTGGTCACATGCCCCGCACCGGCAGCAAAGTCCCTGGCCCTGCCTTTCCCACATTGGGCCTCCAACGGGAACCTTGGATTGTTTGCCCGGGACCCCTACCCCAGGGCCTGGAGGAACCGTGATCTTGGCCCCACCCCCGGCTAGGGCACAGCCCCGACCTCAACCTTGCACTTCTACCACCATCACCACCTACCTTCACCTTCCACCCCTGCAATCCCTCCGCCTCTACCCTAACCTTACATCACCATAACCTACCACCACCAACACCACCGCCAACTCCGCCCTCCTGGCTCAGACACAGGCCCTACCCTAACTTTCCACCACCACCACCACGACCTCCACCACCCCGGTCAAACACAGCCCCTTCCTATCCCCTCCACCCACCCCCAGCTCTGACACCGCCCCTACCCTAACCTCCCACCAGCTACCTCACGGAGTTCGTGGACTTGGGCAACATCTCCGCGCTGAGGACCTTCCGGGTGCTCCGGGCCCTGAAAACCATCACGGTCATCCCAGGTACCGGCGGGGCAGCAGGCCACCTGCCCACACACAGGCCCAGAGCCCGACCCTCTCAGACCAGCATCCTGGGCCACAACACACTCAAGCTTGGGCCCAGAGGGAGGCCACGCGAGCGAGGCGAGCGAGGAGGAGACGGGGCCCGGGCAGGGAGGCTCTGGACTGCCTGGGTTCGATTCTCCCCTCTGCCACTTCCTCACCGTGTGCTTAGGCAAGTGGTTGACCCTGTCTGTGCCCCCATCAAAGATCAACAATAGCACCATCCACAGATCAGGTAGTCGTGGGTGTGCGGTGGTTTCGAATATCTACGGTGCTCAGAACAGTCTCACACACAAACTGTGACCTGTGCTTGTGTGTTACGTGAGATGTGCCCACAGGCCGAGCAGAGGCTTCCACTCGTGTGTGTGTGTGTGTGTGTGTGTGTGTGTGTGTGTGTGTGGTGGGGGTCTCGGCCCACGGGGTTCTGCTGGGAACACATCCTCGAGCAAGGAGGCCAGACCAGCTCCGAAGCAAGGGCTTAGGAAGCACGAAATAAATAGAGCATTCCGACCCTCAAAAAAGCCCGTGGAGAAATTAGAGCCGGTTCCGCAGGGGGGGAGAAAGGTGATCTCGAAGGGAGAGAGCAGGCTCTGGGAGGAGGGGAAACGGCGCCATCCAAGGGCCAGAAGATTCTCCTGCAGAGACCAGTGCCATGGGGCAGTCCCGCTGTGGGACCCCTGTTTTCCACAGGTGGTCATTTTAGAAAGAGATCCCTAGCTCGTTCCTCTTCCATCTCTGAGTGGACTGGAACCTCCAATCTTTGGGTTGGCCGTTGAGGGCAGTAAGCGTTTGGATCAACTAAGGGCTCCGTCGTCATCGGTGTCTTCTAGCCCACAGCCCTTGCAGCCGAGGCAGGTGAGGTTCTGAAAGCGGCAGTGCTTACCGGCGGGGCACACAGCGAGAAGGCACGGCGCCAACATAGTCTCAACTCTGGCCCACCTGCTCCCAGCGCCCTCTGGCTGGGAGGGTGCTTAGAAGGAAACTGAGGGGCGTTATGTTTCTCACCTCAGGATAAGAAAAGAAAATGAACTGATCTGACTAGGCCCAAGGAAGAAGTGATGCCCCCTCCATTGGTGGGATAGGGTCCCTTGGAATTCCTTAAGGATTGTTGACCCCTCTGCCAGTTCCAGGAGGCCTGGTGGTGTAGTGGTTATGCGTTGGGCTGCTGACCCCCAGGACAGTAGTTCAAAGCCACCAGTAGTTCTGCAGGAGAAAGATGAGGCTTTCTACTCCCGTAAAGAGTTAGTGCCTTGGAAACTCACTGGGGCCGTTCTACCCTGTCTTATAGGGTCACCGTGAGTCGGAATTGAGTCGATGGCTGGGAGTTTGCTCGTTGGGGTTGTCTGTCCAAAAGGGCAGAATCTTTGGGGTCTGGTCAGGGTCATGAATCCTACCGCCCCTCCGGCGACGACAGGCCTCATCGTAAATCGGGTGTGGTGGTCAGGTTCAATGAGCATAGATGTGGCAATAGCTTAAGCCCTGTTTGTTTCTGCGGGGCCGTGAATGGGAGACTCCGCGCACTGATCCCAAACACAGAGAACCGCTTTCTTAAGCAAAGCGCTCAGAGGACGAACGTTCGAGGAGCATGCTTTGGCCAACACCGAGCTTGCAATGGTCAATAACTGCCGTCCGCGCCTGTGTAGGAGTCTCTGGGCAGAGCACACATGGTGGCACCAGGAGTTGGCATCAACTCAACAGTTCTGGGTGACTTTGTGGGGCTCCATTAGCAGCCCTGGCAGCACTGTGGGCATTGGGCATTAACCACAGACCAGCGGTTCAAACCTACCAACGTCTCTGAAGGAGAAAGATTTACAGTCCTGGAAGTGCTTCAAGTCCCGCTCTTTAAGTTGCCCCGCCCTTCTCCACGACCTTTTCCCAATGACCTCCCGGTCGGTACCCCGCATTCACCGCAGAGAGGTGGGGTCACCCGGGGAAGGCTTCTGGAAATGGTGCCTGGGAGGCCGAGCTTAGAAGGCAGTTGGGGGTAGGCGGAGGAGCACGTTCCTCTCCTGACCCCGGCACCCTTGCCCTCTCCACGGCCAGGCCTGAAGACCATCGTGGGGGCCCTGATCCAGTCGGTGAAGAAGCTGTCAGACGTCATGATCCTCACCGTCTTCTGCCTGAGTGTCTTCGCCCTGGTGGGGCTACAGCTCTTCATGGGGAACCTGCGGCACAAGTGCGTGCGCTGGCCTCCGCCCTTCAACAACACCAACACCACGTGGTCCAGCAGCGACACCTGGAACAGCAGCGACACCTGGTACGGCAACGACACCTGGAGCAGCCATGAGAGTTGGGTCAGCAACTTCACCTTTGACTGGGATGCGTACATCAGCGATGAAGGTGAGGGTGGCAGATGGGACACAAGTGGGGTCGGTGCCAGCCTGTGGGGCAGCCCCTTCCTCAGCCTCTTGTGACTGCCAACTGAAACTGCAGTCCTGGGTGGGGCGGCCCAAGCAGCTGTGATCACTGAAAGGAGGGTCGTTTGAACACCCGTCCCCCATTGCCTGGGCCTAGTGGTCTGCTTTCAGAAAGATTCCAGCCAGGGAGGCCTCCAGAGCGCAGCTCGACTCGGGAACAGACACGAGAGGGCTTGAACTTCTCTTTGGGGATCGTCCTGACTCCACCCCAGCATGCCCCTCTTCTCCTCCATCACACCGTTTGCTCACAGCCTGGAAGGGCCACTGCCAGGCCCCCCCACATCTGCCTCACAGCCACGTGCCCTTCCTTGGCAGGCACACACAGGACACGTGCATGTTCCCACACAGCCACGATTCACCTCTACGCCCTGCCCTTGAGTCGACGCCCACTCATACCGACCCTCTGGGACAGGCAAGAGCGGCCCCTGTGAGTCTCTGAGACAGTCACTGTTCATGGGAGCAGAAGGCCCCGTCTTTCTCCCAAGGAGCAGCGGGTGGTTTCGAACTGCCGACCTTGGGTATCACAGCCTGACATGTAACCACTACACCACCAAGGCTCCTACAAGCCATTATTCGTCAACAGAAACGAGGAAAAGGCACCTCTTCTCAGCCCAGCATCCTGGAATCCAGCCCCAGTTCAGGTGTCCTGTGCAGGTGCCTGGCAGCACCATGCCCACACATGCACGTTTCTCCTGTGTCTCTCCATGCCTGTGGTACATACGCAGAGACCCATCCTGTGCCCTGAACTTGGGGTTACCCTAAAGGAGGGCCACCCACTCAAGGAGCATCCATTAGGTGTAGCTGTCCCATGCTGATGTGTTCACAGGTGTGCAAGAGGGGTTTGTGCGCGTGTGCGTGTGTGCTTTCAGTGTGTGCAGGTGGGTAACCCGCCTCCTTTACCTCCCAAAGAGAACTTCTATTTCCTGGAAGGCTCCAACGATGCCCTGCTTTGTGGGAACAGCAGTGACGCTGGGTGAGTGATGCTTTGTGGGGCAGCAGGCACTTGGGGACCGGGGAGCCAGGGGAAGTCTGAAATGGGGGCTTGGGGTGGAGGGAGTGCAAGAGAAAGCCTGTGGGCATGCATGCGACACTTCTTAGCTCACAGGGGGCACAGACCAATTGAAGGAATGTCCCCTGGGATTCCCCGTCTCTGCTCCCTAACTGGACTTCCCCTCCCCCCCTAAACCTCATCCTCATCCTGTCCTTAGGCGCTGCCCTGAGGGTTACGAATGCATCAAGACTGGACGGAACCCCAACTACGGCTACACCAGCTACGACACCTTCAGCTGGGCCTTCCTGTCTCTCTTCCGCCTCATGACCCAGGATTACTGGGAGAACCTTTTCCAGCTGGTACAGCTGCCCACCCTGTGCCCCCCAGCCCTGAGTCACCCCACCCCCAGGACGGCCAGCCTCCCCCACCCCCCTCAGGGGTCCTCTCCTCCAGGGAACCCCGCAGTGCTCTCTGGCCCCATCTCTGCCTTAAGAGCTGAGGGGTAGACCCAGGTCTCACAGCCGACAGTTGTACACCATGGATGCTCAGTTTTGCCCAGACACATTGATTCCCACTTCTCACGTACGTACGTAGGCCGGGTACGTCAGGAGCAGCGGTGCCTTCTGGGCCCAGCTGCTATCTTTAAGCAGATGCTGTTAATAATAATAACAAGGGCCGGTGGTCCTTGAGCTTGGTCCGGGTGCCAGGCATGGTGGCAAAGCTGACCTCAGAGCCCAGTCCATGTGCACCATCTCCCTGAACAGACTGGGGGTGACGGGGGTGGGGGTGGGCGGTCCTCAGAGTTCTGAGCCAGGGGATCCGGAAAGGGTGGGTTCCCACGGTGTTTTCCAAACAGGGGCTAATTGCCAGCTACGCTGAGGAAGCCCAGGCTCACCTTCTAAGTGGGTGATCCACCCTGGCTCAGAAGCTTCTGGAATGTGGCTTGGCCTATCAAGGATGGCCATGCCCTGTCTCAATGGTCCTTAAACCCCCAGGCTCTGTGAGGGGTCCTCCGTTTGCCCCTCCAGGTAGCAGGTGCGTGCAAAGGGGCAGTGGGTGACAGGAGCAGGATAGAAGTGGGACACCCTGTGACTCTCCTGCCCCCAGACTCTGAGAGCCGCCGGCAAGACCTACATGATTTTCTTCGTGGTCATCATCTTCCTGGGCTCCTTCTACCTCATCAACCTGATCCTGGCGGTGGTGGCCATGGCGTATGCGGAGCAGAATGAGGCCACGCTGGCCGAGAACCAGGAGAAGGAGGAGGAGTTTCAGCAGATGATGGAGAAATTCAAAAAGCACCAGGAGGAAGTGGAGAAGGTCCGGGGCCAGGGATCTCCCTGCCCCTGAGCCCAGGCTGCTCAGCCCCTGCCCACCTCTACCCCAACACCCTCCGCAGGCTGAGGCTGGGTGGGTCAGGGCAGGGGAGTGGGGAGGCAGGTCAAGGGACGGGCCTTCAAAGCAGGAGGAGCAGAGGGTCCCAGGTTGTGGCCTTGGTGGTAGGAAGGCTCCATCTCTGTTGCTCCTGTTCCCCCACCTGGGACGAGCAGTCTGAAGAGAGTCTACCCAATTCAAAGGTCTGAAGGCTCTGTTCTCCCTTCTTGTGGCGGGTGAGGTGGGGTCTCTAGGAGGCCCCATTTTCTCACCATCTCAAGTGCAAGGGTCTGTCAAGAGCTGTGGGTCTTAGGAGTCACTCTAGCCCCTACCCTGCCACCCCCACCCAGCCCCCAACTAGGCTCCACACAGGCCAAGAAGAGAGGTCCAGGGTCATTAACCCCCACCCCGGCTCCGAGTGGGGCTTCATGCCCATCCAGTGCCCTCCCCTCCCCCTTGCTGGTCTGCAGGCCAAAGCTGCCCAGGCTGCCCAGGCCCTGGAAAATGGGGAGGCCGATGGGGACCCAGACCCCCGCAAGGACTGCAATGGCAGCCTGGACACCGCGCCGGGGGAGAAGGGGCCCCCGAGGCAGAGCTGCAGCGCAGAGAGCGCCATCTCAGACGCCATGGAAGGTGAGCAGCGGACGCTGAGTGGGGCAGGGCGCGGCCCAGCTGGGTCCAGCTTCAGGACGGCCGTAACTTAATCTTGGCATCGAAGAAATGGCCGTGATAAATATAGTTGTGGCTTCACCTGGTCCAGTTCTGGCTGCCAGGCCCAGCCGTGGTGGGAACTGGGGGCTTCCGGGAGGGCCCAGGGGGGCTGCCAAGGCAATGGGGAAGGACAGGCTAATAATAATGCCCAGGAAGGCCCAACCTTCCGGAAACCGGAGATGCTGCTCCGCTCGGGTCCCTTAGTGCCCTGCCATCCAGTGCCTGCCGACTCCTAGCGACCCCACAGGACAGAGGAGAACTGCCCCTGTGGGTTTCTGAGACGGTGCTCTTTATGGGAGTAGAAAGCCTCCTCGTTCTCCCACAGAGCGGCTGGTGGGTTTGAACCACTGATCTGTGGCTAGCAGCCCGGTGTGTAACCAGTACACCACCAGGGCTCCTTCGAGGTAGCAGTATAAGGTCAAGCTCTGCCCAGATGAAGCGGTAGAGTCCCCCTAATTCCTGCCTGCTAAGCACCCAGAGAAGGGGAAGCAGATGTAACAGGCAGAGAGAGGAGTCAGAGAGAGAGCCGCCTGCCAGCCCCCTTTCCTCGCCCATCAGCTGGACAGTTGGCCACAGCCCCAGCATTCCTGGGCCGTACTTGTTAAAGGGGCCTTTGCAGGGAGCAGCACCACCCCACCGGCCTTACAGAACCCCCAGGGCTTTATAGAGTTTGGGGAGAGTTCCGGAAAGCCCCTGGGTGACCTCAGGGCTTCTGCGAGGCCAAGTTCACCAGCCCTCCTCCTGGGAGAAATGGGAGGAGCCCACGGGGACGCGTGGCCTAAAGGATTGCACAAAGGGTGGGGCCTTAGGGGCGGAGTCGATCGCCAAGCTGCCCTGAGAGGCGGAGCTTGACTTAGGTCTCTTGGAGGATGGAGGGGTTTTCGACTGGAAGCGCCCAGGGGCGGGGCTTTTGGGGGCTGGGGGAGCCTAGTTGGGGGCTGAGTGGGGGTGGCAGGGTAGGGGCTAGAGTGACTCCTAAGACCCACAGCTCTTGACAGACCCTTGCACTTGAGATGATGAAACTCTGATGGGCGGAGACGTGAAGACTTACGGGGAGGGTGTCCAGGGGCGGGCGCTGGGGTCAGCCCAGCGAGGGGCTGTGATGTGGAGGTGTGGGGTGCCGACACCTGGGGTGGAGCTGGTGGAGCGAGGGGCGCGCGGAGGGCGGGAATCCTCCCAGGGTCTGTGCTGTGACCCCCCCCTCGCAGAGCTGGAAGAAGCCCACCAGAAGTGCCCGCCCTGGTGGTACAAGTGCGCGCACACAGTGCTCATATGGAACTGCTGTGTCCCGTGGGTGAAGTTCAAGAACGTCATGCACCTGGTCGTCATGGACCCCTTCGTGGACCTGGGCATCACCATCTGCATCGTGCTCAACACGCTCTTCATGGCCATGGAGCACTACCCCATGACGGAGCACTTCGACAACGTGCTGACCGTGGGCAACCAGGTACCCCAGCCGTCAGACCGTGGGGTCACCCAGCCGGGTCTTGGGTCAGGATGTATATGCATGGATCAACTAAGGAGGTTCATCCATCCTGGGGCTTGGGCGTCAGAGTATTGGGGAGCCAGAGGAGTGGTGATGGGGTGCTGGGTTTCCACAGGTCAGATCTCTGGGGGGCGGTGTCTGAGGCCCCAACTTCATGGAATCACCTCTCTGCTGGCCCCCGTTCTAGCACCCAGGCCCTGTAGGCCTTTTGGGCTCCTTTGGTAAGCACCCCACAGGGGTGCTAGCCCACTTGGCGCCTCACTGTCAGAGTTTGTCATGGGCCCGAGAGAGACTGAGGAACCCACAAATCAGGCTGAGAAGGCCAAGCTCCCTATGGAGGCCGTCAGCCACCCTTGCACCCCCTACTCGCTGCTCGACACCCCAGTCCATCCCTGCTCCTATTGTTGCCTTGCACTGATCCCTCACTCTGAGCCGAGCACTGATCCCTGCTTATCCCTGGCCATTAGGGGCATTATCACCTCGTTGCCAGCCTGACAAAGGGAGAAAGCACCCTCCACCTGCCCCACCCTGCCCATCTTCCTCTGTATTTCTTCCAGAATGGGAAATGAGCAAGATGTGACACCCCACCATCCCCAGCCCCAAGATGTGGGGTGCGCAGGGAGAGTGAAACGGGGGCCTGGGCAGCATGAGGGATGTGTGGGTGGAATGGAATTGCAGAGACCCTGGACACCCCAGCCGGCCTTGGCCGACTGTCCATCCATGCCTGTGGAAGTGCCCAAGGCAGCCGCGGCCAGGCAGAACTTGAGGGGCAAGGGTGTGCCCTGGCCTCGGTGAGCAGCTGCTGGGGTGTGTGTGATGGGCCTGCCCCGCCGGCCACCTGCCCCTGCCCACACTGTGCTGCCGCCGGGGCCCCTGCTGTGGTCAAGGACAGCTCCTGGGAGGAGCTCAGTATGTGCCCAGGCAGGCTGCAGACCCGGGGCAGCTGGTGCCTGGCAGAGGGGGCTGTGCCCAGGCCTTCCAGCAACTGTGCATCCCTCAGCCCCTTGTGTCCACGCCTGGGGAGGGGGGCAGCTCTGGCTTCTCGTGGACCTCAAGATTTGCCACCTTTGGGGCCCTGACCCTAGACCTCCAAGTGTACAAACCAAGACTTTGTGGGTCAGCAAGGCTGTGGAGGCAGGGACAGTGAACTGAGCTCCCATGTCACCGTCTCGCCCCTGTCACGGAGATGGGGAGACGAATGAGTTCGGCACGTGAGCCCCAGGAAGGAATGCTGATGATTGTGATTGAGTTGAAGCCCTTGGGACGTTACGTAATTTGCCCACGGTCTTGAAGCCAGAGATTGGTGGGTCCACAATTCTGGGCTGGACCGACCTCTGCCCCCCTCATTATACCCACCTGTGGGCTGTGAGTGCCACTCGTTACCCGTCTTGGGGCTCTGAGCCACTTCCCCTCAGCCCCCACAGGAGGCAGGAGAAGCTGGGGAGCCTCCCCCCGCCCCTGTGCCCCACCCCAGCGAGGCTCTGTGACAGAGACCTCTATCCCCCTTCCTCTGTCCCACAGGTCTTCACGGGCATCTTCACGGCCGAGATGGTGCTGAAGCTGATCGCCCTGGACCCCTACGAGTATTTCCAGCAGGGTTGGAACGTCTTCGACAGCATCATCGTGACCCTCAGCCTGGTGGAGCTGGGCCTGGCCAACGTGCAGGGTCTGTCTGTGCTGCGTTCCTTCCGGCTGGTGCGTGAGGCCCCACCCCACCCCACTGCCAGCCCAGGGGGGTGGGGGGGGTTGTTGGGGGTGAGGAGGAGGACCTTCGAGACGCCAGCGCCCCATCTGTCCTGTGGGTGGCGCATCACCTCTGGGAGCCTCCTCCGTATCACACAGTGCTGCTGGGGGGAGGAGCAAAGCGAAGGCCAAGAGCCGACATTCGAGTGTGGTCCCATACTGACCTTGAAGGGCAGAGCAGCAGGACAGCCACCCCCAGAGCAGACCCGAAAACAGGCTGCAGAACGCCCATCGCTCACTCACTGCCATCGAGTCGGTGCCGGCTCACGGCAACTCTTTGGGCACAGTCGAGCCGCCCCTGTGAGCCTCAAGAACGTCCGTCAACTCTTGATGGGACTAGAATGCGGAGTCTTCCTTCCGTGGAGCTGCGAGCGGCTCCGGACTGCTGACCTTGCAGTTAGCAGCACAAGGAGTCACCGAGACGCCACCGGGGCTCCAGAAACCCACTAGTGGTGGCATTCAGACTCCTGAGGTCATGTTCTTGCTACTGCTTCAGGGAGCCTCCTATGGCTTCCTCTCTCCTATAAGGGGACCTTCCATTCAAACCCCAAAGTGTAGCCAACCTCCGTGTAAACACCACCAACCTTCAGCAGCTGCCAACCCTAGACGATGCTTGCAAACGTTTCACCAGAGGGGAAAGTATGTCAAACCCAAACCAGGCATTGAGCTTCGCTTGTCCACACGCTAGTCTGTGTCGGTAACAGATGAGGGTCCCCCCTAGCCCCTGCCCCTGTCTTCGCCCACCATTCTGACTTATGAAGAGCTTGCAGTGGAAGGATACGGTGGCCCCTTGAACAGAAAGGCAAACGGAGGTCTCAGAGGTCTGGTGTGGGCGGCCCAGCTGTTTGAGTTCATGCTCTTCTCTAAGGACAGGGATTCCCTTGGGCTGGCTCTCAGGACCAGGGACCCCTGGGCCTCATTCGCCCCTCCCTGGCAGCTCCGGGTCTTCAAGCTGGCCAAGTCGTGGCCCACGCTGAACATGCTCATCAAGATCATCGGCAACTCGGTGGGGGCGCTGGGCAACCTGACGCTGGTGCTGGCCATCATCGTGTTCATCTTCGCCGTGGTGGGCATGCAGCTGTTCGGCAAGAGCTACAAGGAGTGCGTGTGCAAGATCGCCTCCGACTGCAGCCTGCCCCGCTGGCACATGCACGACTTCTTCCACTCCTTCCTCATCGTCTTCCGCATCCTGTGTGGCGAGTGGATCGAGACCATGTGGGACTGCATGGAGGTGGCCGGCCAGGCCATGTGCCTCACCGTCTTCCTCATGGTCATGGTCATCGGCAACCTTGTGGTGAGTGAGGCCGGCTTGGAGCAACCCCCCAAAAAAACCACCACACACACCCCTCCCAGGAAGCCTAGGCATCCGGGACCTGGCTGGCCCCTGCCTTGATTTCCTTCCAGTTTGCCTGTGGTCAAGAATCTGTTTTTTATGAGGCTGAACCTGCCGGAGATTCTGGGACCTGATGTTTTCTGCCACCCTACCCCCCTTAAAAACAGGGCAGTTTTATATGCATGAACCCAGAAGTTCTTACATTTCAGCATACTGCAAAATCACCGGGCACCCTCGGAGGGAAAGCCTGGGGGCTGCTCTGTACAGTCGACAGTGGGAAAAGCCCTGGGGGGCCTGGGATGGGCTGGATGTCGGCGTTTGGCTTGTGATATCAGAATCACCCAGGGGCTTTGTACAGTACAGATTCCTGGGCCTTGTGGTGGTTGTGAGTTACCGTCGTGGGGATGCCATTGTGTGGGGTAGACCACAGGGTTTCCAAGACTTTGGAGCAGTTGGTCCGACCCGGGCTCCGAAGCATCTCTGAGTGGTCTTGAACCAACCACCAAACTTCCAGCCAGTAGTTGAGCGCTTAAGCGTCCATGGCACCCAGGGCCGTCCTGGGCTCTACCCCAGAAATCCAAGGTCTGCGCCTCTGCGGCGGGGAATGGAGTCCACATATCTGCCAAGCAGCGCCCATGACCCAGGGACCACAGTGTGAGTAAGCAGCACAGAGGTGGAAATGCGCTGGTTTAGACAACGCAAGAGGAGGGCTGGAGGAGCCCTGGTGGCACCGTGGTTAAGCGCTTGGCCGCTCACCTAAAGATCTGGGGTTCAAACCCACCAGCTGCTCCCAGGGAGAAAAGACCCAACCAGCTACCCCCGCATAGAGTTTGACCTCTGGGACTAAAACCCTCTGTGGCAGGGCCATCGAGTCGGTGCCGACTCACAGTGACCCCGTGCACGCTGTCCTGCGCCGTCCGCACAATGGTCCTCTGCCTGAGCCGTTGCTGCAGCCACGAGGTCAGCCCCTCTCGTGAGGGCCTTCCTCGTCGTCGCTGCCCCTCTCCCAAGTATGACGTCCTTCTCCAGGGACTGGTCTCTCCGACACAGAGGGTTGCTTGGAGTTGAAATCGACTGGGACACACACACACACAGCAAGATAGCAGATGGAGTCGGGCAGACGTGGGTTCTAATCCCAGCTCCTCCGTCGTCTGCAGTGCAGCCTAGAGCCATGGCTGCTCTCTGCTGAGTCCGGCTGAGTGTGCCCAGACTGCTAGTGGAAGAAGTCAGGCCCTCAGAGTCGCTGAGCTAGCGTGGAGAAAGGCGCAGAGAGAGCCCGGTGCAGGAGCTGCTGGGCCTCCACCCTCCTCTTTTCTTCCTCTGCCCTGGGACTCCAAAAAGAGGCAGGCGCCAGGCCCAGGTATTGTGAGAATGCAGACAGGGCATAATGACAGCCCCCTGCCACTGTCTGGGGCTCAGGGCTCCGCATGTGGGGCAGTGCGGGGCAGGCAGGCAGGTGTGCCGGGGCCCGAAATGGGGCTGGGGCTGGGTCCAGCGGGAGGCTGGCATTTCTGTGGCTGGGCCATCTTGTCAGGGCCCTGCGGTGTTGTGCCTGGCTGCCCCCCTGCGGTGGCTGGCTCTGGCCTGGGCATGGGCGAGGGAAGGCGCACGTCCCCACGTCCCCAAAAGGCCTGTGACATCCTGGAGCTGCTGGCTCAGCATGTGTCAGATATCGATGCTCACGGCTGAGGGCCAGGTCTGAGCCAGAGGGCGGAGGTCACTTTGGCTGCAGGAAGCTGTGGGGACGGCTCCCGAGCCCCCAGAGGCAGCGAGAGCGGAGGGCCCTGACAGGCTGTCCCTGGGGAGGAGTGGGAATGGGGAGTGTGTGGGTACACTTCTGGGGCAGATTAGGGGTGCAGAGAGAGGGTCAGAGGAGGACACTGTGCAGAAGGTTGGGAATGAAAAGTGAAGGGCACGAGTGACCGGGTGCCTGCAGAGGGTGTGTGTGTGTGTGTGTGTGTGTGTGTGTACTCAAACACAGGTCGAGAGCCCACGTGGCCGCTGACTCCTGGGAAGCTGTGAGCCTTGGTCTCTCTGAGCCTCAGTTTTCTCACCTGGAAAACGGGGTGATCGGGGTGGTGGGTCACAGGACGCATGTGGTCAGGGACGTTCCAGTGTGACCACGGGTGCTGGGGAATGAGGGGCAGTGCCGTGGGCACCCCTGGGGTTCCAACTGTTGGTGTGACTGCGCCTGTGTCAGGGTTCCTGCCATGTGTTCGGCCCATGCAGAGGGCTGGGGGGCAGTCCAGGCATCCCTGAGCTGGGACTAGAACCTGGGTCTGTGGAACTCCTGTCACAGCAGGGGCAGGAGCAGTCATCGTCCCTCTGGCTGCCCCCACCGGGCCCCCAAAGCGGACGGCTGCTGCCCAGCCTTCTGAGCATCGGTGCCTCTAATCCTCACAGCCACCCCCCAAGAGACTGCGGCTTGGCTGGCTTGGCTGGCGTTCTACAGGTGTGGAGAGAACGGCACTGGGAAGTGAATTGGCAGCGCGCACAGGATCTGCACCCAAGCAGGCTGGCGCCAGATCCCATAACCAGTGCACCACACTGCCCCTGCGGGCCAGCTCCTCACCCCACACTCCTGCCGGGTGGACGTATACCACACACACTCACTCACTCATTCACTCACTCACTCACTCACTCATTCACTCACTCACTCACTCACGCACTCCACCACCACTCCTTGCAGGCCCAGCTCTGGCCCTCCCAGTGGCAGAGGAGGGCAGCACTGTGAACTTGGACTCTGTCCCTCCCCACCACCCCCAGCCTTAGGAAAGCAGGTGCTAGAGGGCACCAGGACCCGGGCAGGGCGTCTGGGGACCTGTGCTCCCCACGCCCATGACCCTGGGCACTTCCTTCAGACTATTGTGCAGAAGAGGAGGAAGTGACTGGGTCACACCTGAGCCACCCCACAGAGCCCTAGGGGAGCATACATTGGCCCCCTCCTCTCCACCCCCACCCCCTCCTGGCCCCAGCGGCTATTTCTGTCCCAGGCAGGAGTCCTGCGCAAACGCAAACCCTGCTGACCCACAGAGCTGCTAATTCCCGGCTCAGATGTGTTCCTGGCAACTTGGCGCCTCCCCCACCTCACCCCTACGGAGAAAGAGAGCGACCAGTCCACATTGGTGGGGGTGAAAAGCATAAAAGTGGGTGAGGGGGACGAGAGAGAAATTGCCTCCAGAGGGTGGAAATGCTGTCAAAGCTACCGTGCAGTGTGCGGTTAAGACAATGATGAGCAGACTGTGGGCGATACTGGTGAAAACCAGGCATGCCCAAAAGTTCTCACATCCTGCGCTCCCCGCCCCCCAGGCCCTCATGTCCACCCTCGCTCCTCCCCCCCCTCCCCTACTGCCAAGGAAAACCTGGACTCTGCCTCTGGCTCTCAGGAGGGAGGGCAGCCCCCTTGATGCTCTACCCCACTGCCCTCTGGAGCTGCCCTTCACCTTTTCGTCCAAGTGACCAGTGCCCCCCTCCCCCCAAACGGTGGGACACCTGGAGACCCGAGTTCTGGTCTTGACTATGCCGTGTGTCCTAGGGGAAGTCACTCCACCTCTCTGGGACGGCATGTCCTCACCCATAAAAGGAGAGTCTCACCTGGAAGGGGAACAAGCCTTTGCCTGTGCCTTGCACAGTTTTTTCTGATCACACGGAGTTACAGGCAGCATGGCTAGAGGCCCAGCTGGGCACCCTCCCCCCCTTTGTGTTGGTACTCTAACCTTACCACACTGCAAGAAGTAGGTACTATAGTGCTCCCATTTCACAGACGAGGAAACGGGCAGAGAGGTGTGAAGTGATGTGCCCCAGGACACACCGCCCGTCGACTGGCATTCCAAGCCTGGCAGGGTGGTTTCGAAACCTGTGCACCCTCCTCTGCGTTGTTGCTGTGGTTGTTGTGTGCTGCCGCGTTGATTACAACTCACCAAGCGCCCGTAGGACAGAATAGGGCTGCCCCCTGGGGCTTCCTAGGCTACAGTCTTTACGGGCGCAGATGGCCTGGCCATTTCTCCCACAGAGCCACTGGTGGGCTCACACTACACTTAACCCAGGGCATCCGCACACCCTTCCTTGGATTTGATCCAACCTTTCTCTCTCCCTTCATCTCCGGCCCCCTAAGACTGCTCGCTCCTGCGCACAGAGGCAAGGCCGCAGTGGGTGTCTGTCCAGTGGAAAATCCAATGGGGAGGGCAGGTGGGCTGCTCACCGCAAGGCTGGTGGTTCAAGTCCACCACCCACTCCATGGGAGAAAGGGGAGACCGTCTGCTGCCATGAATATTGACAGTCTCACATAGGGGTGCTCTGAGTCAGAACCCACTTGACAGTCTTGGGTTACCAGGGTTGCGGAAAGGGAACCGGGAACCCACAGGGGAGAAAAGGAGGTGGAAGCAGTGGGTTGGACGCCCCTCCAGAGAGAGAGGGCATATGTGTCTCAGCACTAGGGAACTGTGAGTGGACTGAAAGTCCCACTTAATCAGAAAAGGCAAAGGCTAAAAGCAAGCATGCAAGAAAGTCCCGGTGCGCAGATGCGGGAAAAGAAGAACCGAGATAAAGGCCGTCCGGACGTACCGAGGAAGTCATAGCCCTGTTCTTTGTTCTGTGTGCCCAGCAGTGGGGGTGGAGGACCATGCTAAATCCTGCCCCAGCCTTGGACAGTCATAGCACAGGCCCACAGCCTCACTGTCCCAGAGGCTGAGCCGAGGCCCTGCCCCTGCCACCCAGGTCCTGAACCTCTTCCTGGCCCTGCTGCTGAGCTCCTTCAGCGCGGACAGCCTGGCGGCCTCCGACGATGATAGCGAGATGAACAACCTGCAGATCGCCATCGGCCGCATCAAGCTGGGCATCGCCTTCGCCAAGACCTTCCTGCTGGGGCTGCTGCGGGGCAAGATCCTGCACCCCCGGGAGATCATACGCAGCCTCAGGGAGCCCTGCGAGGCGCCCGAGGCCGGGGAGGCTGTGCCCAAGGACGAGGACGAGAAGAAGGAGCCGCCGCCCGAGGACGAGAAGAAGGAGCCGCCGCCTGAGGAGGGTGACAAGGATCTGAAGAAGGACAATCATATCCTGAATCACGTGGGCCTAGCAGATGGCTCGCCCGCCGGCATCGAGCTGGCCCACCTGGACTTCATCAACAACCCCTACCTGACCATCCAGGTGCCCATCGCCTCTGAGGAGTCGGACCTGGAGATGCCCACAGAAGAGGAGACGGACACTTTCTCGGAGCCTGAGGAGGTCAAGGTGAGCCCCACTCGCCTGCGCTGTGAACAGTGAGGAGTGGTGTGTTTCAACCAGTGACTGTGGTCACCTGACAGGACAGTTAAGGTCTGTCCTGCCTGCCCCGAAACTCCCTGGTCCCCCTGCACCTCTGTCCCCACCACTCTGGCCCCGATGGTCCCCCGGGACCCTCTCTCACCTTTAGGGGGCACGCTTGGATAGGACCCTCATCTGCGGCACCTCAGCCCAGAACTGGGACCCAAGAGAATCTGCAGGGTCCCCAATGATGGATCTTTAGGAAGTAGATCAGCAGACCTTTCTTGGTGGTGGTCGGGGGCACTCCACCCCACTACCACCCACCAGCCTTTCTGTTAGCCGGGGAACACCACTAGGGATACAAGAGACCCCTCTGGTGTTCTCAACACCTGCTTACACCACCCCCAGTCATCACCAGCGCCACCCCACCACCACCACCACCACCCCCGCTTGTCCCGGCTACCCAGGGTGGGCCAAGCTAGGGCCTGAGGTCCTGCAGAGAGGACCCCTGAGGAGCAGTGGGAGCAGTATAGCCTCAGGGCTGGAGTGCACCAGCTCTTGCTGGGGGGCTGCTCCTGCCTGGGATGCCTCCTTCCCCCACCCCTGTTCCCACACCACACCAGGCAAGGGAGGGATGTGGAACAAGGCAGCCAGGCTTGAGGCTGGGGTCCTGCCCCAGTCTCTCACCCACCCCAGCTCTGTGGGCGACGGTGGGGTGGGAGTGGGGCGCAGGGAAGAGCACTTTTCCCAGGGCAGAGACCCCAGTCCCTGGCTGGCTGGGAATCTGAGCCCGAATGAACTTTCCCCTGGAAACGCTTGACTCCTTACTCCCCCTAAAGATGCGGTGCTGACCGACCAGGGGCGCAAATGCCTACCCAGCTATAAATACCCACAGAAATGTGCCCTGACCTCGATAGGAGGAGCTGGTGGGGGAGGGGCTGAGGACGCTGGCAGGGAATGGGAGGGAGGGGCCCATGGGGCTTTGAAAAGGGGGCCAGCATGGCTCCAGGGGCATCGTTTAAGGAAGTTGGGGTGTGCAGGGGCTAGGGGCTCCGTGAACCGTCCTGGCTGGCCCAAATCTCTGTGCCTTGGTTTCCCCGTCACCTGATAACAGAAGCAATCCCACCCCTCCGCACCCACCCTCTACCCTGTTTGCAGTGCTGTACTCTGGACCCAGAGTGCCCCAAGACGCTCCCTTGACCTGCTCCTCCACTTCCCCCAGTCGTGAGGGAGATACCCTTCTGAGCAGGAGTGGGGGCAGGCCCAGGATGCTGGCCTGAGACAGCCCCAGAGGCCAGCTGGGCCAGCCCCCCACCCTCTCACCCCAGCTCAGGTTCCCTGGGCAGGCAGCTTTGGCCCAGGAGAAGTTTCCATCCTTTCTGGATTCCTCACCCAAACAGACCGCGGGCATGGGGACCCCACGTGGCCTGTTCCCTATGGGCTGTGACACCCAGTTCCACCTTGATGCCCTTTGCATCCTGCCCCCTCAAAAGGGCCCGGGCTGCCCCCCTGGGTGCCCCTGCTCTTCTGCAGCCACCTCCTACCCTCCCGCCTGCCCCCACCCCCCCGAAGGGTGGGAGTACCCTGCCTGGGGCTGGCTCACCCAGGGCTGGAGGGATGAAGGAAGGACCCCCCTTCCCCGCGTCTCTATCCTGACCTCCCTCTGACTCCAGGACCCACAGAAGCCCCCGCGGCCCCTCTACGATGGGAACTCCTCCGTGTGCAGCACCGCCGACTACAAGCCCCCCGAGGAGGACCCCGAGGAACAGGCCGAGGAGAACCCCGAGGGGGAGCAGCCGGAGGAGTGCTTCACGGAGGGTGAGGACCCCACCCCTCAGCCCCCGAGTGGGGTCCGACCCATGTGTGCCCAGCCATCCGAGTGCTACAACCACCCAAGAGGCTTTGTATTCCCAGGCCCTGGGCTGGGCAGGGAGGGCTGCCCGGGCCAGGAGGGCAGGAGGGGGTGGTGGAGGGCCTTGGCACTCCCTGGCAGAGAGGACCTCAGGGACAGGACCCGAGGCTCCAAGGTGAGGAGGAGAGCTGGCCTCATATTGGCCCACCCACTCCTCACCTGCCCGCTCTGTGGAGGAGCTGTGCTCGGGTGACAGTGGAGGGGTATCCTGGTGACTCAGACTCTGCCCACGCACCGTGCAGCAGCCCCCAGGCCCTGACAGGGCGCCCCTCTCCCCTCAGCCTGTGTCCAGCGCTTCCCATGCCTCTACGTGGACGTGTCCCAGGGCCGCGGGAAGCAGTGGTGGACGCTCCGCCGGGCCTGCTTCAAGATCGTGGAGCACAACTGGTTCGAGACCTTCATTGTCTTCATGATCCTGCTTAGCAGCGGGGCCCTGGTAGGCACCCCCCAGGGGCGGGGGGAGGACAGAGGGGCCTGTGGCAGCTTCTCCTGGGGCTTCGGCCTCCCCACACCAGGGGAGGGATTCAGCCCAGCCCGTCCTGAACCCAGGGACTCTACGGGAACTACCTGGGGTTCCAGATGATGGGCTGGTCTCCGAGTGGTGCCCAGTCCATAACGACCCTGTGGGATGGAGTAGCACTGCCCCCAGAGAGGGTCCAGGCTTTGCTCCGGTGGAGCGGCTGGTGGGTCCAAACCACTGACCTGGGTTTTGGTTATCAGCCAGGGCTCCTGGTTCTGCTAAGAGAGTGCACGCATGTCTCAAAGTGATGGGTGGGCCTTCTCGTGCTGTGGGTGCTAAAGGGGCTTCCTGTGGGGAATGGGGCCGGGGTGGGCAGGAGGAAGCTGTGTCCCTGAGAAGCCCACTAGCGGGCTGGTGAGCATCTATAGATGTGGGGCTGGGGACAAGGAACCCAGAGGCGGTTCCATGGGGAGGCAGGGGGGAAGCCGGGAAAGGCCAGCCACCTGCCCCTGGCCCGACCCCTGGGATCCAGCACAGCAGGCAGGGTAGGGGCCGTGCCCTGGCCCTGGCGCCCCCGCCGACGCCTGGTCCTGCCGGCACCCTCAGGCCTTTGAAGACATCTACATCGAGCAGCGACCGGTCATCCGCACCATCCTGGAGTACGCAGACAAGGTTTTCACCTACGTCTTCATCATTGAGATGCTGCTCAAGTGGGTGGCCTACGGCTTCAAGGTGTACTTCACCAACGCCTGGTGCTGGCTCGATTTCCTCATCGTGGACGTGAGTCCCCCCAGTTCCCCCAGCCCCCCCCCAGATACCACCCGGGGTCACCCCAGGAATCGGACCCCCACAGACTTCCCCGGGGCTCAAGGAAAGCCTTCCGAGGAAGGGCTGGGCTGGGTTGGGCTGGTGTCTTGGA